TAAACAGTACGACAGATGCCCCATAGACGTATATCGTGAGATTGATGATGTCGGCGGCGCTCTGGCTAACGAACCATATCAGGTACGAATTGGTAATCCACATTCTTTCCTGACAAATAATTTGAATTATGTGGATGTGCAAACCGAGGCCTACAAAAGAGCAGGCGGCCAACAACCATCCGGCGTAGAGTAGCGCGGCAGGCGGTAGGTCGAAATGGACGAGTATAACAGAGTTGTTAAATTTATCCATAGCTTCCGCCGCAACACCATAGTCCCATGTGCTGTTGAACAGGCAATAAGGTGTTGCCTTCAACTGCGACATACTCAGTCGTGTGTGGTCGATCAAGTCAATGCAAGGGCTGCGCTTCTATCCTTTTGCCAGGTGGCGCGGCACACAGAGGAAATCACACGCGACAACCGCCTGACTGATAACAGTTGAGGCAGTCTCCACAATAGATTAATAATTCCTTACTAAATGCTGAAGCTGGATCCAGTATTGATGTGTCAACACTTCTTACAACGGCTGCATATCTGTTGTGCTTGGAAACGTGTTAGACTGCGATTTTCAGCCAGCTTCAGTCTCGTAACGTCAGCGGTCGTTCTCAAGCATAATCGATATGTTGTAGCCTCATTCACAAACGAGTACCTATTTTCGCTCCATTCAGTCTGGCCGCGGGCATTACGTGTTGTTTCCCGTCGTTCCATCAAAATCATCTCAAAGCCAACTATTGAAATATTTTTGGAAGACGACAAGTATCTGATTATGACTGCAATACACATGAGCATGCATTGGAGAACTTAAAATGAACTATTGACAGGATACGCAGGAGTTGAGAAATTATTGGTGATAAAAGATGCGTGACTTCATCGAAGGATTCCTTGACCCTAGAGGTGATGTTACGTGCGAAGCGTAGGGACAGCGAGGATCATTCATGATGGAGGGAGAGGTCTGCTAAGGAGACCGTGGCAACCGAGGGATGACAGCGCTCTTAATGTTTACATGCAGACTTTAAGCATGAAAGCCAAAATCTGCATTCATCCACTAAAAGACTAGATGAAGTCTTTTATTTTGTAAAGCGCAAAACGTTTACGATGAATGATTGAACCGCATCATAAACCGAATACGCGTGTGCTGAAATATTCAACATTATCTTTTTCTGGTATACAAATTATGAACTACTTTTGAAGTCCTCAGAGTCCAATGACCCGTTGCCTCGTGAAGACGCAACCACTTTTCAACAACGGACCATTTTGCAAAATGACATACGGCGGAGTGCAACTGCTTTTGCGGCATCGGTGGTCATGAAGGATCGACATGAACCCTGAAACGGGCGGGCTAACGAGACTGATGAAGTTGTTTGGAGCTAGTCATTGACTCAGCGGATTTATTTGCATCTTTTGATTATACAAACTATATAGATTTTGATATTTAAATTGGCTTTAATTGGAAAAGAACCTGAAAATCTCAATGGCTATGAGTGTAGAGCTGCCAAAGCTGCAAAACAAAAGAAAGTTTTTGGGTACTAAATGTAAGTCACAGTTTGCCACGTAATACGTGCAAATATTAAGCAGACCTCCACAAACTACACTGTAGAAGGATTGACTCTTATGAGAATACAGGTCACTGCACTACAAGAGCCCATTGGCTTAAAATAAACTTTGTGACCGCTGAAAGTATGGCTTCCATTGCACAGGGAACACAACAGAAGGCACTGTTCGCAGGGGTGGCACTGACAGCCAATAGAAATGCAGAAGAAGCTACCGTGGAGTAGTACCGTGGACTCTGGTGTCGGACCAAACAATTTTGATGAGGTTCAAGCCCTGATACAAAGGACTTGATCGCACAATTGCCATGCCCCTGTCAAAGCTGCTGTACGTCGACAAAAAGAAGGATTTCATGCCGTACTGAGTCTACTGTTGCAACAATGCGGAACTCATGGTATCAAGATTGTTCTGGGTGGTTTCAATGGGAAGGCAAGAACGAGGAATGATTTGTGATCATACAGTGTTGGCGAGATGAATGATAACCGTAAAGAACTAGTAGCCCTGCGAGAGATTCACCATCTATTTGTCAACGGCCATGAGATCACATGGCACTCCCCGAGTGCATCAACAGGAAACAAGATTAACCACGTTATGATCACCAGAAGTCATCAAGCATGCCTAGAAAGTGCCAAGTTGTACAGAAGTGCTGAGTATTTCAGTAACCAGGAGCTGATGATGAGAAATGTTAGTCATGCTGCGATCTTCGATAATCGATCAAAGGTCTAGCTCAGAGTTTAATTAGACAAACGGATTCCCCGGAATATGTCATGCGCATCAATTCATAACTTGTAGAAAATTCGAGTCACTTATTAATTATACTTGTGAAATATCTGTAGAGGATTGTTGGAACAAGTATCGGTATTTGCTAGTGACAAGTGCACATGACTTATTAAGACGCAGAGAAGACGGAGGAAAAGGTGACTGAGTTTTGAAACTAAACGGCTGTAAGAAATAATCAAGCTTAACAACAGACGAGGTGCAAGGAGCGATGTGCAGAAGGAAATTAGGAAGGTTCTACAAAGAGAAAATGCACTCTTCTGGAAAAGGGAAGTTGAAATGTTGCATGACGCAGGTAAAAAATAATATGAATTTGCCCAAGGTGGTACGTCGATACTTCGATAAAGCGAAGGCTTGTATAACAACTGTTAAAGAATCGGGTGGTGATCTCATCTCCGATCCTACAGAAGTGTTAGAAATATGGAAAATGCATTTAGAATTGCTCCTTGACCGCGATGTTATTGTACAAATAGTTCATTATGAGATATCATGTCTAAACAAGAAGTAAATGTTGATACCGGTCCTCTGACCACTGAGGAACCAGACGAAGCCTTGAGTTAACTAAAAAACACAGCTGCAGCAACTGTATGGATACCATCAAATCTAATTAAAAGGTCTGCAGCAGATAGAAAATTGGTATTAATTTCTATCTTTAGATTGATATGGTAGAAGGGTAATATCTAATGACTCCAGTGGAGTAACATTCGTATATCTAATGAAGGTTACGGTAATGCACCCAAATAATGATCGCGGTATCAGTCAGCTGTTTATCTAAGTTAATGTGTTTCTTTTATTATCGCAGGATTAGACAACATCTTGAGAAGATCTTTTATGCAGAAGATGCCTAGAGATATTCACCATAAAACAACTTCTGGAAAGGCAAAAAGACCAGGAATCCTTATTCTTCTCCACCTTGGTTGGTTTCCCCAAAGTGTTAACTCCGTATGGAGAGATGTCCAGTGAAAATGATGAACATGAAAAAATTTCACTAAGGGTTATTTAAAAAAAAACCCTAGCTTTCTTCAACTGCAGTACGAATTGACATCACGTTGAGTTCATTTTACCGTACAAAGTTGAGAGTTCGACCGCTCGCTGTTCGCAATGCTTCTTGACCGAGCGCAGCAACCAGGATGAAGGAGAGTAACTACGACTTTGGTAACAGTGGGACACGTCTAAACTAATTCCCGAGTGTTTGTGGATGATACCATATTGCTGGTATGCTGCTTTGATCCTGTGACTTTACTGCTCCAAGTTCTGGTCCAAACTCTCCTCCAAATTCGGTAAGTTCTAACCTAGGTCGATCGATTAACTTCGAGAGACGAAGCAGATGAAAGATGTGATAATCCACATACTGTTTGAATGATCCTTGACATCGATGCTGTGGGAAAGGTAAAAAACATACATACATCCTCTGAGTACATTGGATTCAAATCAATAGGCGACAAAAAAGTTAAGGGCTGCTCTGCATTGGTGTCTGAGGCCAACAGCAAGCGATTCATGCCCAGGAAGGCCAAAGATGTTGTCAGAACAAGACAACAGTGCTTAGCAAAGCTGGAAACAGAAAAATTTTCGGAACGGACATAAGATCACTTCATTTCTCATAGCAGCAGACATGTCAGACAGTGCTGTCAACGTCCCTGATCCCGTACTAGCATCTAAGTCTCGGCAGAAGACAACCGGAATCTGCAGCAGAGTCCTTCACTAAACTTGAATGGGTAATTTTAACCATCGACTGAAAAAGTAGTAGTTGTCTCGCCTTCCTTTCTGGAGACATTCGAAACACATGCCTAAACCGTCGCAGCTGAGTCTCTGTAATCTTACGAAACAGCGACTGGACATCAAAGTTTTTTCGTATTTCCCTTCGGATGATTTTATGACGTTGAAGGCCAGCGATTCTTCCCAGAACGCCCATTTCAGGACTTGCACCCGGGACCAACGTTTTTCCGTCATGGTCCACGACTGATGACCGTAGATGAAAATGGGCGAAAAGATCGACTTGAACATCGAGAGCTTGGTCCTCAGACTCACCTCTGCTTTAGTCAAACGGTTAAGGAGAATTCAAGCAAAACGCCATTTGTAGTTCCAATCATTTGATCGAACTCTTTCTCCCCACTTTCTGAGAGAGCTGAGAGAACAAAATTCAATCCGTTCGGTATGTAGCTCGATTTACTGGCTGCAGATGGACAGCTGATATCGTCGACTTGCACTCGCAGAAACACCAATGGTCGCTGGGTCGCCCTGGACAGAGGCAAAACGATTTGATTTTTGGCAATAAAGGAACGTCGTATCAAAACGAAGACACGAAACCAAGAGAAGAATGGAGGAAACCCGTGTGACTACCGAACACTAGTCAATTATAGAAATTAAAGACAGTTTGAGATGGCGTTACTAAAATATTCATAGTCATGGAGGGGTTCAAGGCTGTTTTAGTGTTCAGCATGTAGTCTTCTGATTTCTTCCCTCAGAATGGTACTCATTTATCAATATCATAACGAAGAAGAACGAGTGACCCAGACGACTTTGACTGGGACTTGAACTCTGGACCGAAATGGTTCTGAGTTTGACGCTCTGCAAACTAAAGCAATAGGTGATAAATTCCTTATTCCTTACTCAAGGGAATTTGTGACTAAGACAAAGATTGCCCTCGAGTGAAATCGAACCCGATACCTCATGAGTTCGAAGTAGACCTCATACACATCGTGTCAATACGCCACGTCTTCCTTATGCTTACGTGAGGGGGGGGGGGCAGTTCTGGCACCCATTTTTTCATGAAATTGATCGCGGGGGCGATGGTCTCTGTT